GGATACATGGGATATGTGAGATATGTGAGATATGTGGGATACATGGGATATGTGAGATATGTGGGATATGTGAGATACATAGGATATGGGGGATATGTGGGATACATGGGATATGTGAGATATGTGAGATATGTAAGATATGTGAGATATGTGGGATATGTGAGATATGTGGGATACATGGGATATGTGAGATATGTGGGATATGTGAGATATGTGGGATACATGGAATATGTGAGATATGTGGGATACATGGGATATGTGAGATATGTGGGATACATAGGATATGTGAGATATGTGGGATACATGGGATATGTAAGATATGTGGGATACATGGGATATGTGAGATATGTGGGATACATGGGATATGTGAGATATGTGGGATACATGGGATATGTGAGATATGTGGGATACATGGAATATGTGAGATATGTGGGATACATGGGATATGTGGGATATGTAAGATATGTGGGATACATGGAACATGTGAGATATGTGGGATACATGGGATATGTGAGATATGTGGGATACATGGGATATGTGAGATATGTGGGATACATGGGATATGTAAGATATGTGGGATACATGGGATATGTGAGATATGTGGGATACATGGGATATGTGAGATATGTGGGATATGTGAGATATGTGGGATACATGGGATATGTGAGATATGTGGGATATGTAAGATATGTGGGATACATGGAATATGTGAGATATGTGGGATACATGGGATATGTGAGATATGTGGGATACATAGGATATGTGAGATATGTGGGATACATGGGATATGTAAGATATGTGGAATACATGGGATATGTGGGATACATGGGATATGTGAGATATGTGGGATACATGGGATATGTGAGATATGTGGGATACATGGGATATGTAAGATATGTGGAATATGTGGGATATTTGGTATAAGTCCTATATATGGAAAATGTTTAATATTTGGGATATGTGAGATACATAGGATATGTGTGACATATGGGATATGTGGGAGATGGGAGATATGTGGAATATGTGGTTTTTGTGGGATATGTGGAAAATAGGATATAAGCTATAGGATATATTAGATATGGGATATGGGATATGGGATATGGGCCATAGCCCATAGGATATAGGATATAGATATTACTTTCAGGCAGGACAAGAAATGCTCCCGCTCACAGAACAGATGCCAGAGCATATTAAACGACAGGTATATATGATACGGATTGCTTTAGATAATGCTATATACCTTTCATCTTTAGCCGGTAATCCACTCGTTTATTCACTTTTTTGAGCTACTTTTGCTCTGATATCAATTTGAGGAAATTTCATTTTGGCATTTATGTATTTTGATGATGGCATAAATCGTATTTTGGAACAGTTTTCTGAACATTTTTGTGAAATTGAGTTGAACAGCGAGTTCTGTAAAGCTCTGCTCGACGTCAGGGTTGGAGGGAGGGGCAACCTGCTGGTGGAGAGGGGTCAGGTGGGGTGTAGGGGGCGTGTACGTCTTTGTGTGTCTTGCATTAACATATACCATAAATCTCTTACACTCGACGAGCTGCTTTTTTTTTTATGCACATTTTTATGATCGCATAAGTTACATATATCGATTTATGCATGTGTGTGTGTGTGTGTGTGCCAAAAATCACAGCATACTTTTCGGGGCGCGGCGAAGGAGACCCAGAACGCAGAATAATCGAAAATAATTTCACATAAATGCTGAAATGAAGCTGTGCTCAAGTGTGTGTGTGTGTGTGTGTGCTGGGGTGTGTGTAACGTCTAATGAATTCATGTTGCCAGCAGCGAGAGCTGAGACGCTGACCGCGACGGCAACAGCGACTGAGGCAGCGGCAGCAGCTGCTGCTGCTGCGCTAAAATATTTACATTTAGTTAAACGCAAACTCTGCGTGTGTGTGTGTGTGTGTGTGTGTGTGTGTTAAGCATATGCTGGCAAATGCAAAATGCTGTCAAACACAGCTTAAGTGGGCGGCAGCGGGAGGCGTGGCCGTAGCTGATATTGCAGCTGTTTGAATTGTTTTATATTTTGATTAATTTCTGCTGCTTCCTCTTCTTCTTGTTGTTGTTGTTGTTGTTTGGCTGTTGAAGTAATTGCGAAATGCAGTCATGCGTGTGCGTGTGTGCCTGTGTGTGCCTGTGTGTGTGTGTGTTTAAGTACATAATCGACAAACAGAAACACAAACACACTTATACACACACACACGCACACACACAGGCACAGACATGCGTAAACACAGCGATTAAGCAAATAAAGCGCTGAAAAGCAAAAACTAAATGAATTAAACGATGCAAACGAGTGTGTGTGTGTGTGTGTGCGAATGTGCGTGTGTGTGTGTGTGCATAACACTTACAAGCCAACCGCCAGCTATATATACACCCCTCGACCACCCCCCCCCTCCACCCCCTTCGACTCTAGTGCGCTTCATGCGCTGCCATAAAATATGAGATAATAAAAAGTGAATTATGAGCCCGCGAGCAGCTACGGCTAGAAAAAAAAAAAAAAATGCCAGCAAAGCAAACAGCAGCAACGATGCAGGCTATGTGGTATGCACGACTAGGCAATGCCCTGTAGCCAGGGCTGCAAGCCAGGAGTTCGTGTAACCAGCTTGTGATGCGTTTCTCCAAGGAGAACAATTCAGTTGATAACCTCTATATAACTGCTTAGACTGATTGATTGATTGAATGATTGATTGAATGAATGATTAAGTGACTGATAGACTGACAACAAGAGCTACAACAGCTGTAGTCTCCCTCTCCCATTCCAAAACGGAATTTTCGACAGCTTCCACCCGCAACAGCGGAAAATTGGTGGAAAGCGATTTTATACAACTTTATTGCCTACCATTCGATCATGCTCAAACCATTTAGATTAATAATTTGTGAAAATGAATTAAGGACACTTTTCACACTGCGAGAATTAGTCTGAGATTATTCGGGCGAGGATTCCGGCTCAAACTCACTTTGGGTGCCAAATAGAGGTAACAGGTTGTCCTGGGCGGAGTTTTAAGTATAGTTCGATACGCTGCTAACTCATTTTGAAAGCCTAGAAGCTCTATGAAAGTGACTTTCAGCGATTTTGGAATCCACAGTCAAGATCGGACAATGCACGAAAAAAAAAAAAACAGCTGAGTTCAATCGTTTCGCTTCATATTCCTTTCCGGGATCTAGGGTCGAATTTATTAAAGTCTTATTTGATTATATATGTGCATACATAATCTAAGAGCCTCGTTTTAAGGTTCAAGGATTCTGATTCGATTGAGCCTTGCTCTACGCACATTCGCAGCTAATATGCTGCAGCTGAAACAGCTACAGGGTATTCGCAAGAGAAACGCTCTAACGTCAACAACTACAACAAAAACAACAACAGGCCAGAGAAGTACAAAAAAAAAAAAACACTCACGAACATATTTAATTGCAAAATGTTTGTTTGCCTGCTAGTTTTTATTTGCACTTTAATTATGAAAAATATGGAACGCAGCAACTGCAGCAGCAACTAATTTTTACAAGTTGCAGTTAAAGTTGACAGCCGGCGGGGCATGGCGGGTCGGTACGAAGAGGGAGAGGGAGGGAGGGGGAGACCCATTATGGCATCAGAAGCCAATTTATGGCAGGAACAGAAGCCCAGCCCCGCCCAGGCCAGGGCCAGCCAATTGCATAAGCAAATTAGCTCGGCTAATCGAATTGCGTTCGATTCAGAGGTTCTAGTCGGGAGCTCCCGGCTAGGGGATACCCTGCACCCTCTTCCTCCAATAGGCGTCAAGTTTGGTGACTCTAGCTCATATTATTTGCCGAAATTGTTGAAAAAAACAGGATTTCGATATCGATTTTTATCGATTACTTGGAAACGGGGCAAGTTAACGAATATCGGAAATAAACTTGATGTGCGCGGGCATTAGGAGGACCTACAGCTACAATTTCAAGTCTCTAGCTCTTATAGGTTCTGAGATCCTTGCGTTCATACATACGGACAGACGGACAGACGGACGGACAAGGCTATATATATATATACTTTATGGGGTCGGAGATGCTCCCTTCTGCCTGTTACATACATTTGCACAAATACATTATACCCTTTTTGCCCATTTTTAATGGGTTCGGAGTTTAAAAACACAATAATAAGGCCTGAAGGACAACTGGAACTGCTTGATGACTTTTAATGAAAACGCAGCTCAAAAGATGTCCAATTTGATGATATCAGAGCGAGATCTGTGCCTTGCCTCGTGTCCAAGCTGGATTAATAAACAGCAGACTAACTTGGATAATCCATTCGAGACTTGTCGATTGTGAAGTATCTGATTGGTAGATACCCTGTAGCTGTGCACAAGTGTGCTCTAGACGGGAGTGCCTGCGGTGGAGATAGTCTGAGCCCAGCAACAAGCTGCCCCAAAAAGTATTCCCAATGAACTTCGGACTCTATGGTCCGATCTTTATTTGATTTACAGGTAGGCAGACAAAAGTGTATAAATACCAAAGCGCAAATGGGATTCTATTCTGAGGGTCATCGTGGTGAGGTGTCGAAAAAAATTGAAATATTTTCTATTTGCCATTCGAGTACCTACAAATAAAGTCTCTAGCTTTTATAATTCTCGAGCTATGCTTAAAAAGCTAGGTCTCAAAATCGATATTTATCGATTTTGTCAAATTTAAAGGAGATATCAAAGAAAATGTACATACTTATTTTCGACATGCTGCACGAGTATATCTATTTAAGGTTTCAAGTCTCTAGCCTTAGTTGTTTCCGAGATGGACCCAGGGTTCACTCAGCTTGATATGAGGCTCAAGAATAGATGTACCTTATGGGGCCAGAGTTGCCTACTTCTGTTATTACCTTATATACAATCGCATAAAACCCTTCTTGGATTGAGGTCTATTATATATAGCATATTGCCGTTAAAGTTGCCTTGGATCAGCATCCATTATCCCAAATCGAGTAAGAGATAAAAGATCTTTAAGTTATCATAATAAACCCGACAAAGTGGCTGCTAACCTTTGAAAAGCGATCACAGTTAAGTGTTTATATATTTAATAATTCTTGAAATCGCATTCGAAATACATAAAAATAATAATTCCATCAAAATTTTACAACTCTAAACAATTTTTTTTGTTTTTTGTTTTTTTTCTTTCTTGTTGGCGAACTAGTAAGTAAATGATTGATGTGGCTTGGTGTGTGTGTGTGTGTGTGTGTGTCTGTTTGATGATTGATTGATTTGATTACTTGATTGATTGATTGATTGATTGACTAATTGATTGACTAGTTGTTTGAATGCCTGATCAAATGATTGCTTACTCGATTAATCGATTGATGGCTTGATTGATTCGAGTGCTTGATAATGATTGATTAATTAATAAAGTGATCGATTGATTAATTGCTGGGCTTCGACTGGGCTTCGGCTGGGCCTTAGCCAAGTGTTGGAAACTCAATTTCATCGTTCATATTGATGGGATCGGACACGCTCTCCGCCTCGGACTTGTTCAGCGGACGTCCCCCCGCCCAGCCGCTGAGGTAGCCGCTGCGGCGACGATCGTCCTTGAACTTGAACTCAATATCCATGATGCGCTGCAGCCGGCCGACGCGCTGCGGATACATGGACGCATCGTATTCCAGGCCCGGATCGTTGTCCGTCTTCGATGGCTTCTTCTTGGGCAACACGATCATCTTCTTCCAGTCCGGCTTATTCACCTCCCCCTCGCCGGCCTTGCGTATGTTATAGATGGGCTTGGCCCGCTCCACGCGCATAGCGCGCCACTCCTCAACGGTTATATACTTGGTGTCGTCCTCCTCGGCTGTCAGGCCGTCGCCCTGCTGCAGCTGCAGCTGTTGCTGCTGCTGCTGTTGCTGCTGTTGCTGCTGATGCTGTTGCTGATGCTGCTGCTGCTGTTGGCGCTGTTGCTGCTGCAGCTGCTGCAGCTCGTTGAACGAATCGTCCTTGTCGGACTGCACGGGATTCTTCATGGCGATGCTCTGCTCCTCGATGTCCTTGATCACCGAGCCCCAATTGTGGGCGCCACCGCCATTCCGCTTGACCACCGCCTTGATGCCCGTCTTATCCGAGCCCGAATGGCGATCGAATTTGCTTTTGTATAGCCTGCCATAGCCATAGCCACCGCTGCCCCCGCCCCCGCCGCCGCCGGCGGCAGCGACGCTGCCGCCCTTGTTGCTGTTGCTGATGATGCGGCTGGAGACGGTGCGTTCTCGATAATGGCGCTGCTGCGGCTGCGGCGGCTCCAGCTGCTGCTGCAGCTGTTGCTGCAATTGGAACTGCAACTGTTGCTGCTGCAACTGCAGCTGTTCGCGCTGCAACTGCTGCTGCTGTCGCTGCAGCTGTTGCTGCTGTTGCTGTTGTTGCTGCTGCTGCTGCTGCTGTTGCTGCTGCTGCTGCAGCTGCTGGTCCATGTTGGTCTTCTTCAGGTCGGTCTTGTTGACGCCATTGTTGGCCATAAATGTGGCATTGGCTAGCTTGATGCGATCGGACTTGAGGCCGTCGCCCTTGCCGTTGCCGTTGCCGTTGCCGCTGCTCTTCGAGAGGAGCAGCTTCTGCTGGACGGCCTTTTTGTTGAATATGAGAGCCTTGGCCTTGTCGCCGGTTGGTAGCTTGCTGCGCTTGCTGTGCTTCGGCTGTCCGCCTGTCTCCTGCAGCTTCTTTTGGCCAAGGCACAAATCGCTGGCCTCGTCGTCGATGAAGAGCAGCTGATAGCGATTGTTGCCCAACGATTCCATTTCTTTTCTATTCTTTTCTTTTCTTTTCTTTTCTCTTCTCTTTTTTGACAAAAATACTTGCGAGCTTTTTCACAATATTTTCCCTTTCTCTCTCGCCAGCTCACGCAATCGTGTCAAAATAAACTCAACTACAGCCGACCTGACACAAAATCAAATCCAAACTTGTCCAGGACTACTAGCTCGCTGCGAGAATACGGATCGGAAATCGGCCAGGGTTGCCAGCCAGGCAGCAAAAAGTAATGGCGACAGCTCTGGCGAGCAGAGCTGCACGAATGTGCCTAGAATTACAGGGTATAAAACGGAGCATGGAGCTGAGCAGTTGCCCCGCCTCAACAAAACAATGGCCTTGAGCTTAAAGTGACCATGGAGGGCACCAAACGAACGCGTCTAAGACATACAAAAATATGTTTCAGGGTCGATCACAATTCAAATATCAAGATATAGAGAAAAGTGAACATGGAGGTGCGCAGCGACTGAGAAAGCTGCCTCATCATTCAAGTTGCAATGCCTAAACACACTTCACTCTAGCACTTTTGAAAGCTAAAGTGAACATGGAGGTGTCTACAGCCTAAAAGAAATCAAGTAAAACTGAACATGGAGGTGATAACAGCCTAAAAGAAATAAAATAAAACTGAACGTGGAGGTGACTACAGCCTAAAAGAAGTAAAATAAAACTGAACATGGAGGTGAGAAGCGTTAAAGAAAGTTGTGTCCACACATGAGTTAGCCAAGCGCTATCCAAGCTTGGCAAGTTAATCTGACCATGGAGGTGTGCATAAAGGACGCTTGAGCTGAGCTCTGCTGGAGATGTGGAGCACAACTTCTCGGCCTGAATTCCAAATAGATCAAAAGATGAAAAGAAACGTTTCCGAAGAGCCCCAAAATTAAAGATGATGTTAAGAAATATATTTAAAAAAAGAGTTTCAAGTCTGGACTTCAGCTTTTAGCGGGCCTTTAGACTGCACAGAGGTCTACCTGGCTAATCCTTCAAACTCTTCGACAGCCATGTTTCTTCTTATACCCTGTACCCCTGACAAATATTTAAAAGATCTTAAAGCTCTTGTGCTTTGATTCGTCTTTCTAGCCTGTTCCGTGCCTCGGAAACTACAAGAGCTATCGATCGCGAAATTTGAGTTATAGATACTCACATGCCACAGTCCTAAAAGAACTTATCATATTGTTAGCTGTTCGATAAATAATATATATCGATAAATATCGATCTTGAGACTGGTTTATTCAAGCATAGCTCGAGAATTATAAGAGCTGGACACATCAAATTTGGTACGTAGATACTTGAATACGATGCACAGATTAAAAATATTTCATTTCCCTAGATTCCTAACCTCAATCCAACAAAAAAAACGAAAAGAATTTATTATATTAGTTAGAGTCTTGCGCTTTGGTATGTACACACATTTAGACGTCATATTGATGCTCTGAAAATCTTATAAGGATCGGACTCTATGGAACGAAGTTAATCAAGATGTTGGGGCAAATTTAAGAAGGCAGCACAGTCGCTGCAGGGCATCTTCTAGTCGGGCACTGCCGACCCATGCAATGTTGTTTTGCATTTTTCCGACTACTTCAAAGCAACTTTAAGGCTGGCTGTTCATTTCCTGAGTTTTTGTTTTTCCCCCAGCTAACTCTTCAAATATACTATACATACATATATATATTTTTTTTTTTTATTTTTTCTCATTTCTCTATTTAAGTTTCTTCCTAGTTACATTAAATTGAACAACTGCTGCTGGGCAAAAACAAAGGCGGCGACTGCAGTAAATACTTTTCTATATTCGGAGGAGGACTAAAAAAAATGTCTGTAAACTTTTTGCACGCGGCCCGCAATTTTCTCTGTAATTACAGCGCGGAACACACGTTGGCTGTCAGGGGCAACAGGCGGTGGGCTGCGCAGGGGGGGGGGGGGGGGGCGGTGGGTGCGCAGGGGGGGGGCGGTGGGGTGGGGGGCGTGGTCCGGGGTTAGAGATTAAACTCTGTGTGTTAGTCGACTGGATTGCAAATGAAATGCGAAAATGCTGCAAAAACTTTACAAATCTCTGCAATCTCTCCCCCTCCCTCTCACTCTCCCTCTCCCTCTCTCTCTCTCCCACTCTCTACATATATGGTATCAATAATCGCCTGAAAGCAGCAATTAGTGAGCATTTGACATGCAGAAATTAGAAACTAGCTGTTAAATTTATGTGCGGGGCGCGGCCAGCGTTGCCAGACAGCTAAAGTGGGCGCATGTTAAAATTGATTGCCTGGACGAAATGAACAAAAAAACCTGGTCACACACAAACACAGAGCAGCTTACCTACACCAACTACTTGGTTAGGTTACCTTGGGGCTGCCAGCATTGATTTATATTTCTATTGACACTTAAGCCAAACGCACAGACACCCTCCCCCCCCCCCCCCCCCCCCTCCACCCGTCCCGTCCCGATTGGGCTGTCCGTTCTGTCTGTTTGCCAGGCGCACGAATTTGTCCTTGTCATTGTTTTACAAGCCCAAAAGGGAGGCGGCAGCTGGAGCAAGGCGCAGACACGGGACGACGACGAGAAACTCTTCCAGTTAAGAGCACAAAGTGTATCGATTAAAACAATAAGAGCGTGTCGCTAGTGCCCGACTAGAAGATACCCTGCAAACAGCTTTGCTCTTCCCTTGCCTCCTTACCATGTCGGGAATTACAGTCCGATATTTATGAAATTTGTGGCACTTAAATATGACATTTAAATAGGGGCACATACCAAAGCGCAGAGCTCTAACCCAACACAGTTAGATTTTTTCCAATTCCAAATGGGGGCAGGAAATGAAATATTATTAATCTGTGAATATGATTCGAAACTCTACCTACCAAGTTGGGTGTGTCTAGCTCTTATAATTCTCTAAACCATAACTCAGAATCGATATTTATCGATAATTTAAAGAAAATTAGAATATATCGATAAATTAATGGAATATGTATTACACATTCTTTGGTTTTTGGCTTTTATATCTTCCAAGACTTAAGCTCTATAATATATATGTTATGTATATGCTTTATGGGGTCTCATATTTCTCGCGAAAGCCAAAGTACACTCTGCAAGAGTATTGGGACGAGATGAAACCCGAGATTTGCCTTTAAATGTGGCAGGCAGCAAATGTGAAGTGACACTTGCACAACAAACGGACTGACTGACAGAGGGACAGAGAGACAGACACGGTGGGACGGAGGGACGGAGGGAGGGGGGCAAACGGAAAGGCCGACAGACAGACTTGAAATATGTATGTGCAAAAAACATTTTGTAACTTACTCAGCAAATTTTGGAGAATTTTATTGGCCGCCGAGTTGCATTGCATGTTGCCATTTCCATTTCCGTTTCCGGCAGCTGCACACGAAATGCACAAAATCACACGAGTTGCCAACGCAAATTAGCATTGAGAAACGCCGGAAATGTGCTGCCATGTACAGGGCCAACTGAACATGGAGGTGAACAGCAGCAGCAGCAGCAGCTACATCTCTCTGCAAGCAGGCACATTAAACTGAACATGGTGGCGGGTGGAGCACAGCAGCCGAATCATGGAACACGGCTAAAATATATAAGTTCAATTATAAGAGCATATATATATTTTAGAAGTGCCCACAATGCAGCTGCCAGTATTTCGCACAGATCACAACTGAACAAAGGTCTATTGAGTACATAAAAGTACTTCAACTGAAGCCCAATCTGACCATGGAGGTGCGTCGCGTCGACAACAGGTCGAAATGTGATCACATCTACTGCATATAAGTCAAATATAAATTATATGTCTTAGGCGCGATCACAATTCGGCTGCCAATATATTGGTATTGTATAAAGGGAACACAATTAAAGTGAACATGGAGGTGCGCTGCGATGGGAGGACGGCACGAATCATGAGCCCAGCTAACACACAATAAAACTTGTATACAAAGTATATGTTTAGCTGTGCTCACAACTAATCTGCGCCTATTTCAGTTAAGAGCTTTTTGATTAAAGTGAACATGGAGGTGGACCAATGAGAGACTAATCCTGAACACGTCTTAAACATATAGGTTCAAATATAAATTTGATGTCGCAATTCGCCTGCCAATGTCCCAAAGCGAAAGATAGAAATTAATGTGAACATGGAGGTGAACAGCTGTGGCAGCCGCCTCTGCATAAAACACTTACGCTTTCTGCCTTGAGTTGTGATTGTGATTACATCAACTGCATATAAAGCATATATTATTATATATTATAGATGCGATCACAATTCATCGGCCAATCTGTTGGATTTATAGAAAAAAGCAATGAGGCTTCCACCGGAGAGCTGCGGCTGGCCTCGGAGCTGAGGAGAGCTGAGTAGACGACTGAGGAACACAGCCAACACATATAATCATATATATACATATTATATGTTTTGGATGTGCTCGTCAATCATCTGCTAGAACACTAAACAAATTTCCCAAGTTGCGTCACGAAAACTGAAACATAAGAAGCCAGTAAGAGGTTTCGGCTAGGGGATACCCTGCACCCTCTTCCTCCAACAGGCGTTAGGTATAAAATGAAAAATACTTCATATATATATGCTATTCTAGAAGCTACATGTCAAGTTTGGTGACTCTCATATTATTTGCCGAAATTGCTGAAAAAAACAGGATTTCGATATCGATTTTTATCGATTACTTGGAAACGGGGCAAGTTATCGAATATCGGAGCGAAAATTTCAAGTCTCTAGCTCTTATAGGTTCTGAGATCCTTGCGTTCATACATACGGACAGACAGACAGACAGACAGACGGGCAAGGCTAGATCGACTCGGCTGTTGATGCTGATCAAGAACATATATACTTGATGGGCTCGGAGATGTCTGCTTCTATGCGTTACACATCGTCTGACAAAATTATGAATCCCTCTCAAGATGAGAAGGTGAACAGGAAGGCGAGCCGCTGTTGTTTAGTTGTTGTTGAAGCTTTGAATCGAATTGAAAGCGAGTTATGCCCAATTAATATTACTTCTAGTTCATCTGATGCTGATAAAGAGGCCAATAGTTGGCCAATATAAAGGATTTAACTAAAGCCGAGCCTGGCAATTTGAGGGCCACAATTCGATTGAAAACTTATTTGCAGCTGCTGCCTGTAAGTACACAGAAATCAAGAGCTTAAGAAATAACTTGTAAAGTGAACAAGGAGGTGTGTGATATGCAAATCTAAAATTTAAATAACTTTTTACTTGATTGTTATTGTTCTGGGGATATGCTCATGCATAAACAAAAGTTTAACTGCGCAGCAGCTCAAAGCCGCCCCAAGCCACAGCCAGCTGAAGTGAGCAGCAGGAGTTTCCAGGCATGAAATTGATGGTCGCCTTTAAAATGGTTAAAAAGGGTATATACGCTGCTGGGGGCATATTTTCTTGAAAATCGATAAATATCGTTATCGAAATGCGCTCACTTGAGTATATCTGAGAGCTTACAACAGCTAGGAACACCAAATTAGGCAAATATAAGCTTGTATAATACACAAATAGTATATTTATTTATTAACTCGCATGTATAGGGAATATTTTCTAAATTATCGATAAATATCGTTATCGAAATGCGCCCATTTGAGTATATCTGGGAGCTTACAACAGCTAGGAACACAAAATTAGGCAAATGGACGTTTGCATATTATACAAATAGAATATATCTAATTACTAACTCGCATGTGTACGGAATATTTGCCCAATTATCGATAAATATCGTTATCGAATTTATTTTTTTCGAGCTAGGCACACCTGATTTGGTATACAGGCGCTTAAATAGTAAACAAGCGTCGAGAAAAGATCACTTTTTAAATACCTCGCATGCAAAGGGCATATTGTCTTGAAAATCGATAAATATCGATAACAAAATGAGATCTTTAGTGTTTATATCAAAGCTCACAAGAGCTAGGAAAAACAAATTTGGCATGTAGACGCTCGTATAGTACACAGAAGTGGAGAATATTTCACTTTCTATATAGATCGCATGCAAACGACATATTTTCTTGATAATCGATAAAAATCGTTATCGAAAAGCGATGTTTTGTGCATATATCGAAGGAAGAAGCCACCGGATATGTGCATATCGTAGACGCCCGTATAGAATACACTGATCGAGAATATTTCACTTTTTGAATACCTCGCTCCGTTCCTAGGAATAATGTAAAATACCTATTGTTAGAGCAACAGTCTTGGGCTTTGATATTCACAAATATTCCGTTGCCATGATAATTCTTTGAAAATTTCATATGCATCGCACTTAGAACAGCCGAGTTAAACAGTAATGCATATGTCAAAAAATAGCAGGCAGCTGTTTAGAGGGCAGCTGCTAGTCGGGCAGGCCCTGCCGCCTGGCATACTCTAGTTAATTATTCATGACGCGCATACATACATGAATTGAGTGCAACAAGTTGCCCGGGTGTAAATTGCATTTTGGCCTCTTCAATTGAATTACATTTGCGTTATTTGAGCCGAAACGCCATTTTGGTGCTTAATTATTTGCGGCCAACGACGCCTGCGATCGATGGCTTTTTCATACAATATATATTTTCACATTTCTGACAACGTGACAGGCAGCTCTGACGAAGACGAACGTCGCCGCCTCCTCACCTGATGGATGTACAAATTTTAAAGCATAATCCGCCAGCAGCTGCTCCTCGAAAATGAAAAAAAGCTAAAGAAATGAAATGAAGGGTGCCCCGGCCAAATGGGGCGTGCCTGTGTCAGCTCTCTTTGTTTGTTTATCTAACGAGTAAATACGATTTTAATTAAATGTAAATCACATTGTCAACTCACACAAGAGCAGACCCCGCCCTACCCCGCCTGCCCACCTACCAACAGCTGGCATCTGGTTTCTCATGAGTTGCTTCTTATATAAGCACATGCGACTATTGTTTACCACAAGTTCACATTGTGCACACCAACTCACACACACACACACTCACACACACGCACACTCGCGCAGATGCGAGTGCTCATCTTTGAGAGCCTTGTCGGCCTGGAACTCCAGCGACTGTGTGCGGAGCAGACCGCAAACTCCCTTGAGATTATTAATTAAAAGACAAGAAAACATAATTTCTAAATTTACGCACACACTCACACACACACACACACGCACACAGCGGTTCGAGAATTTAAACCTTTGCCTTTTGTTCGTGTTGTTAAAATTGTGGCACACTCGACGACAGCAGCAGAAACGGAAGCGTGAGAGCACGTGGCTAGCTGTGTTGCACAGCATCGTGTTATAAATGCAGTTAGTTATGCAAACACGTTGTGCAACACTGGCCAGCCTGTCTGTCATTCACATGCTTTCCCCACCACCCCACCCCACCCCATACAACATAACTCTTTGACAATGGATCGCTCAACAAATACGGCTAGAAATCCGGTTTACGAACCAATCCGGGAGCCGCGCAGACGCCGCGTCATATTCGAGCTGGCGGTCGCACCGGAGCCGCACATCTCCCCCCGGCCCGAGGACGTGAGTAGTGCAGCCTTTCAAAACAAACCGTAATACACAAAATGTGCATTCTATTAGAACGGCGCCGCGTTTCGGCGTTTCGTGCTGGACGTGCCGAAACCGCTGGACAAGCGCCTGCTGATCGTCTCCCTGTTCAATGGCGCCGCCGATGCCAACTTTCGCTCGCTGATGCTCGAGCTGAATGGCGGCCTGCAGGAGGTGCTGCGCGCCGAGGCCGAGGAGCAGGCCAAGGCAGCCAAGGCAGCCAGACCGATTGAAATGGCGCACAAGGAGACCAGCGTGACACCCTCGCTCGAGCTGGAGGGCGGCTCGACAACGGACACCTCCTCCGAGACGGAGCACTCACATTAATCACGCACAGACATCCAAATACCCTATATACAATAAACTGCGCCCAGCTGGCACTTGTCTGCGATTGATACGCAAATCGAGCTGCCTAAATGCTCTCAGTTATCCATATAACTACATATATGTATATCCAAGCTGGCAGCATGCCAGCGCGAACTTTTTTAAGCACAGATTACAGCCAAAAGTGGTTGGCATGTTGCAAATGTTGCTTGTGACTTTGCCACTTGCTTTTTGACCCCTCTCTCTCTCTCTCTCTATTTAGAAAATCACAGGCAAGTGCAGCCTGCAGGGCCCTTCAATCAGCTGATCGCGCTTTTGTGTGAATGGCAAAGCGGCGCGCGACCAATCAGAGCAGCTTCTCAATAACTGTCTATCTGTGTGTGTGTGTGTGTGTGTGTGTGTGATTACAAATAAAATTGTAACTACCAAACGTGATTTCGGCCATTTTTTTGGGCCGTTCCTTAGAAAATTGGCATTTGATATGCATAACAAGTTAGAGGTTCTAGTCGGGAGCTCCCGACTAGGGTATACCCTGCACCCTCTTCCTCCAACAGGCGTTAGGTATAAAATGAAAAATACTTCATTTATATATGCTATTCTAGAAGCTACATGTCAAGTTTGGTGACTCTAGCTCATATTATTTGCCGAAATTGCTCAAAAAACAGGATTTCGATATCGAATTTTATCGATTACTTAAAAACGGGACAAGTTATCGAATATCGGAAACAAACTCGATCTGCGCGGGCACTAGAAGGACCTACAGCTAAAATTTCAATGTCTCTAGCTCTTATAGGTTCTGAGATCCTTGCGTTCATACATACGGACAGACAGACAGACAGACGGGCAAGGCTAGATCGACTCGGCTGTTGATGCTGATCAAGAATATATATACTTGATGGGGTCGGAGATGCTTCCTTCTGCCTGTTACATACATTTGCACAAATACATTATACCCTTTTTACCCATTTTCAATGGGTTCAGGGTATAAAAATAAAATATTTCTTGTTTTTTATTGCAATGCGTTGCAAATCGTTTCTAACCTCATTCATTTAAAGAGCTAAAAGCTGAGAGGCAGGAAAAAATTGATAGAAAAGCAGGGTATCAGCCATTTTATTACTATTGCTGGTCAATAGGGAAATTGCATTATATAGAGAACATTATGTAGAGAACAAAAGTTTATATTCATTTTAAAGCAACGCATATCAAGATCGTTTCTAACCTCATCCTAGAGACCCAAAAGCTAAGCGATAGAAAACTTAATGAGAACAAATTAATATCAGCATTATTTTTGGTTGGCCCGTTATTTATGCATTCTTAAGGCAAATAGTAAATTATATATATGCATGAGCAAATAAATATTTTCTTCATGAATATTTATGAAAATCCTGCCTAACCTCATTCTCTTATAGACCCAAAAGCCAAGAGCCAGAAAAAAATAATAATAAAAGCTTGCTAAAACCCTTTATGGTTGGAAAAAAAGAAGAAATTCGTTGGATTAATTGCAAGCCATCGCATATGAAAACCTTTTCTATTCCCAATCTTTTATACAGCTAAGAGCTTAAAATAATCTGAGAGAAACTAAGCTACAGCCATTTTATGTCGCTTTTTATCGAATTCTAACTCATAATATTGACAAGAAAACCTATTTTTATTTAATTATTCTAATGCACCGTAAAGAAAATCGTTTCTAGCCTCATTCTCTAAAACCTTAAAGCGACTCTCCAAAGGAAAAGACGTTTTCACTTATTTTTGCCTGATCCTTAAACAATTTGGCGCATAAAGAAGACATTTTATGTGACATGGGCCAAATAAAATAGGAAATTTTAATAGTTGTAAAATATTTATACACTGCACTTTTAAGGTCAACTTGATTTGTGGATGCTGCGCGAGGAACTGCATGCCGAAACATGGGCATTCGCTTTTCTGATAATCTACGGGAACTATAAAAAACATATATACCTGGTCTGCACGCCGATAGTTATCGAATTGGGGCCAACAATTGGGCAGCTATCGAAGAGAGTTACCTTTGTTGTTCACAATTCTTGTAAACTGAAGACTTTTGCCTTGTGCAACACTTGAAGAAACTGGCTCTCAGTGTTGCAAAGGCAACAATTATATGTGCATAACTGTATTTCTATCTGACTTTTGGAGTCTAGAGAGGAAAGTGCTAGGCCAATTATGTAGTGCAGATTTCTTGCGAATCGAGCGATATCAAAGGAGTTGGTCCCGGCAATTGGGCGGGCATGTTGTCAAGTTGATAAAAGACGGCAGCCAGGTCCTTTTTCTACTATGCACGCGCGTTTCTAAGATATCAGCACATGTGCCGGCTATGTGTGGGATGTCCTTTTTCATTTGAATACCAGGCAGCCGGGCGAGAGCTCAGAAGGCGGCATTGTCATCGTTTATGCCGTCAAAGTGAAAATCCATGCGAAAAATTATATGTCAAAGTTTCACTTTTGATATGCCGAGGCATTTGCCCGGCTGCCCGGCGTTGACATCATCTTCGCACTGGATACTGCTCCAGATGCGCCCGCTCCCGCTCTGCAAACGTGGCATGCTCCAGTGGCGCAGTGACAAAGACACATTTGCTGCAAAAGGGGTGAAAGGGGGTCGTAAAGGGAGGGGGGCGGGGGTGGAATCTACCAATTACTCGAGTTACTGGCCCAGTCGCTCGTTGGCAGTCGTTCGCTCTGTCTGTCATTGAAACGTATCCGGCCTTTAGCCTTTCCTCTCCTCTCCTCTCCTCTCCTCTCCTCTCCTCTCCTCTCCTCTCCTCTCCTCTCCTCTCCTCTCCTCTCCTCTCCTCTCCTCTCCTCTCCTCTCCTCTCCTCTCCTCTCCTCTCCTCTCCTCTCCTCTCCTTTCCCCTCCTCTCCTCTTCTCTCATCTTCTTTTTTTGTATTTTCCTTTAGCTCGCCCGTTGTCCTTTTTCTTTAGTTTTGTCTATGAGACGGCGGCTTCCTATTCGACTGTTTCCTTTCTGTTGACTTTTCCTTGGGTTCACTGGCGCCAGCCAGCCAGCCCCGCCCCCCTTTAAACTCACGCATCGCCGCCGCCGCTGCTGTCAGCCCGCAGCATAGCTCTACTTTAGCTTCCCCCCCTCACCAACCCCTCACCAACCCCGCTCAACACATCTTATTTCTTCTTTCTGCTGGCATCTTCCGTGGCATCGTTCAAAGCTATGTAATCTACCCTGCTTTACAGTTGAGAACGCAAAGACCTTTGTACCACACAGCACTGGCACGCCATCTGTCGGCTGCCGGCGGCTGCGGTTGCGGCCTCTGCTCAGCTGCATTCAATGCAGGCCCCCCCCCCCCCCTTTTCCCTTCTCCCACTCTCCCACAGACCACACGCCATCACCACTCCGTTCCTTTTTCAACATGCCCCTGGTCCAATTTCGCATTCCCCTTTGCACACTTTGGTTAATTTGATTTCGTTACAGCTAGGCTTTGATTGTGTGTGTGTGTGTGTGTGTGTGTGTGTGTGTGTGTGTGTGTGTGTGTGTGTGTGTTTCATGGCAGTCACAGCGCGATCAGCCTGGCGTCTGCACGCCCAGCGTGTCGGCGTTTCGCTGTGAATGGCAATGCGCTTCCAATCAGTGGACGTTTTTAATTAAAAAAAATTCCCAAAAACTTGCAAAACAAGTGCAAAAATTTGTAAATTTAGGTTGTTGTGGACAATTGAAAGCACTTGCAGCATTTTAAATAGTCAGATCTCTTCGATCCTCTTCGCCCGCTTTTAGACCCCATATAGACTGAGAGATGTGAGAGATGTCTTCGCTTGAGTTAGCCAAAGAAATTCCCACCTACTTATCATATTTAATTGCTATTTAATGCTTGCCCAACAGTTTTTTTCTTTCCTTCTAATTAGTTTTACAATTCATGACAATTTTTCAAATGAAAATTGTGGAAATAGTGTGAAAGCTCGCCGAAGAACAATTTATTTATATAGGGGAAGTCTGTACCAAAATCTTCCAAGCGAATGTCTTCCAAATAACTGGATTAATCAAGAGCGCTTTCTCTGTATAATTATACATTCATTTATTTCAACTAAGCTTAAGTTCTTTCTAGTAGAATAATCCTCAATTTATAAATATAAGAAAATACGAATCCTCGGGAGTCCCCGACTAGTTACTCGATATGTATATACTACTCTAGAAACTAAATTTGTCAAATTGGGCGATTTTCTCAAAAACCAAGACTTCGATATCGATTTTTATCGCTTGATTGGAAGCGGGACAAGTTATCGATTATCGGAAACAAGTTCGTCCCGCGCGGGCCCTGGGATTACCTTAATCTATAATTTCAAGTTTGTTGCTCGTGGTAGGCTCTAAGATCCGGCTTTTCATGCTGATCAAGAATATATATATATACAGGGTATAACTATGTATATGTTTATAGATATTCAGTCTTCGCAGTAGAACATCGGAGGTTTTGGATTCGAGCCGCAGACCAGGCAATATATAGATATGGAAAAAATTGATCGATTGTTTTTTTCCACCTATGTATTTTCTTTGCCTATATTAATAACATAATAACAATAACTTAATTTAATAAAAATTAACTTTAATAATTTTGCATAATAATCTAAAGAGAACTTCAAAAAATCCTATAAAAATTAAAATAATAAGATTCCACAAACAATATGGATACGACAATTATTTAAAATCAAATTAAGTAATAGAATTATTTCTAGAGAATATCTTAAGATATTGTAGGTCTTTTTGTTTTTATCTAAATCAGGTTATCTATTTATTTATTCATTAACCAATGCTGGTAGCTTTCAGGTTATCCTTAAATAACTAGCCAACTAAACAGATAACATATCTTGATATCTTTTAGTATGATATAGTAGTCCGATCTGGCTGAATCCAACTTAGGTGCAAATAATCGAAGCCATGCAAGGTAAAGGCACAAACGAAGTGAATAGACAGGCGAAGCTGGCTGGCCTTAGCGACCCGTCTGTGCTATGCTTATCTAGAGTATAGATGCGTCTGCTTCTCTTT